ATTCTTTCTGGACATTGTCCCAAGTAGAGCTCACTACCCTTCTTAGTTATCTTTCTCTATCCAATTAATTAATTCAATTTCCCTACTTCTGAGTAGATTGCCCACTGAAGAGATACCATTAGTCAGCTTTGTTACCTCTTTTAAATATGCCTTTGTACTTTCAAGGAACTCTTATCTAAGGTGTGAGGTAAAACTGGTAACCATTCTAGACTTTTGTGCTCCCCACCCTCTGAATGGTGAGTTAAGATCTGGACCTTTCCTGTGAAATAAGTCTGTATATTTAGAACTTCGATTTGGTGATATCTCTCCCAAATTCTCAGAAGACTATTTTATTATTTGCATCATATTCATAACCTAAATGCTTCTTTCACTTTGAGACAGCAGATTTCACAATCATTTTGTGGAATGCAATTGTGTAAAATGATAAAGGGATTTAAATTGACATCCAGAAAGTTGCAACAGCTGGGCCTTATTAATAATGGAACCTGATGCCTTTCTGCAGCTGTATGTTTTACTTTGTTCATATTTTTGCAGTTCTGGTCCACTTTGTACTTCGGATGTGAACTATGTGAACTTGCCTTCTGGTTTCATTGCCATTGCTGTGAAACTTCCTTTCATTGTAACATCTGTTCTCAATTGCAATATTTCCATACCAGAAACTTTTTTAAAATGAAGATTCCATCAATTCTTGGACCGTGGAGAACTTTGAAATGAAACCTGTTTTTAAAACTACTGGTATTAAAAAGAAAAGCTCTCTATGGTAACCACGTCACCACCAGCAACTCCCCAAATTACATATAATTTATATATTTTAAAATTAAGACAATTTAAGATTTGACTACGATGTGCACACTTTCAAATGCTAAGAGAAAAAAGTCATAATTCTAGTCCCAGGTGAAGTGTCTGGACTACTGCTGCTTATTTACTGTTTACTGTGAACAATGAAACAAGTTTAATTTTTACACGTTCTATTTGATTGCAATCTTCTAATGGTTTCTAATGACTTATTCTGTATTTATTTTCACATTGTAAAATGTGAATTTAATTTGAAATGACAATACATTGCGAAATAGTAATTGGATAAAAGATGCAAGTGGTTGTTGCTCTCACTCAGAGAAATGCCCTCTGTCATTAGCTGACCTTTTCCATATATGGCCGATGGATTAACACTTAACCATTTAAGATTTGCTTGCATATAATGTTACTAAGCTTGTCTTTTTTCAAAAGGTAAACTTTCTCAAAACCAAAGTCATAAAGTCCAATTTGAAGTTGTACTTATTTCAATCTATTGTTTATGGCTTGAATGGTACTGATTGGAACAATTTGGTTGCTGAGCCCATTCCCTGGATTATTTTAAGGTTCTACAAATACATTCCCTAACCCAATGATAATTAGCTGTTGAGTTACTCCATATATGGAACTTTCTTCCAGCATCAGTTTGTTTTTGTGCATATAATTCCTGTTTTTCCATGAAGGTTCAATGCCTGTATTAGACAGTAAAGGTAATGTCATCACCAGCGTGCATTTTTCTTTAGCTAAATTTTATCCTTAATAAATCTCTTAAATTAGTTATGGCATACATTTGTCGCTTTCACACTTGGCTGTGACACTCATAATAAATCATTGCCTTCCCTTCCCTCCAATTAGATCTGCTAATCCAATATAAATGAGATTGTGCTCTAGAATTCAATTTTGATATGCAAACATTTAATCTTCAAGATTTTAGTTAATTCTTCATTAATCCTGAATAATCTGTTTTGGAATAGGAAATACATGATTTTCGTTTAGGAGTTGGGTATGTGGAGTCAACCTCCAATGCAGGCGCAGGAAGAAGAAATCTCAAAACAGTTTCAGAAAGAAACTAAGCATGTTTCAGTGAAACTAAAATGTTTATTTTATTAGATTTGGAGTTGGATGCATAAAAGGAATTTTGTGGGTTGGTTGGAGGTCTACTCTGCCTGAAATTATTGTGATTGTAAACAGTAATTTAAAATGAATACCTATTTGAAAATATTATGACAAAATTAGTAGCAAGGGCAGAAAATAATTCAACCAGAAGCATTTCAAATCATGTTTTGCATCCCAAAGAAGGTGAGGGGATAGATCACCATATTTTTACTGTTTGTCATTGAAGCTCTAAAGCGGAGGATGAATATTTATTATACGATTGAGGTCTATAATGCAGAAATGTCGTCTGTTGTAGGAGCCCATTTTGTCCGTACTCTAGTCTAATGTTAAGAGAAGCTGTTCGATTTACTCTTGTTCACCTTACAAGTAAAATGATGGTTTTGTGGCTGACAAGAGGTTTGAGAAATAACATACTTATTATTGGAATGTAAGACAAGGTTGTGTGTAAATCTTTTCCTTCTCCATCTTAATTCTCTTGATACTGGATTTTTTACTTGAAAGATCTGTGTGATTGTTCGTAATCCAAATGAATCGTTAAAATCTGAAGGCTAATTTTAAGATGTGATTTTGGCTAAAGATGAGAAAGTGGCAAGAGAGTTGAATAATAACTTGTCTGGTTAGCTTGAGTTGTACCTTTAATGGATTCTGTCTTGTCATCCAAAGTAATATATGAAAGGCTTATCATGAGCATTACTGACATCAATCAGTTGTGGAAACACAAATCCTCTTGTACTAATAATGCAGTTGAATAATTTTCACATGTAGACCTGGAAGAAAGGACTTATGTAGTTTAAAAAGGAGATGCACCTATACTGTATATACATTCCTAGCTACTGTATGTATTCAACTGTAAAGACTCACCTTGATTTCACTTGCGGTGAAGCAACCCGTCTGATCTGAAGGTTTCAGAAATTTAGAACAATCAAGATATCAGATTTAATTACAAAAAATTGTTACAAAAGGGGTTACAGACTTGATACAAATGTAATTTTGCTGTTAATGGCCTGCAAACTCACAAGTTCTTTACATTTCAAAAGGAAGATTCTGATTAGACAGCGATCTTGGAAATTTGATGCATGTTAACAATGCAATACATGGGCTTCTCTTTAAATAATTAATCTACTAAATATCTGAAGCCGTGCAGACTCTGAATATTTTTAAAATTAATGCACAATTTTGCAGAAATGAGTCCTTTTGTGGCCATTCTCGCTGACCTCGTGTTTGCATTTTTTTTCATTTGGATATGCATGTTTTGTTTACTAATTATTTTTCAATACGGTAATCACCATTGAAATATATTTACTAGAAACATCAGTTATCTGTTATGGAGCTTGTTACCAGATCCAATTTTGATGGAGCCCTTGACAAATATTCCCTGCAAGGATTTTCAAGCAAGAAAAACATAACATTGCATCCATTTTTCATCAGTTCTATGTTTGTTATCAGATGCCTATGGCCTCACCAGGTCATAAGCACAGAATATTAGATAATGTTAGTCCTATAAACTAATTAAAATGTGGCACAGGTAAATCTTTATCTTATGACATTTGGTCGGGGAACAAAGTAATAATTGAAAAGCTGTGATATTAATGAGGGTTTAACACAGTTGAGCCTATATTTGATATGAGGTGAAAAAGTGCTGAAACCTATAATGAATATGAATGATTGTATTAAAATAAACTTTCACTTAATATTTTACTTATATTGAAAAAATAAAAAACTTTACATTTGATCTAGTGCCCAACATCAAAGTTTCAAAGGTATTTCACAGGTAATTTCTGTCAAGTGTAGTCACTATATTTTTAGGCTAATGCACTAGCCTGCCAAATGCAAGGCAGGTGCATTACCCTGTTCACAAAACAGCCAGTTCAACAAATGTTCAACTTAACAGATCCAAAATCCCAGACAGGCCACCACAGCTTTCCAGAAATTAACTAGGGCATTCTGCGACTACGCACCTCACAGCCTTTGGTGATTAATGATGTTTTTCCGCCTGCTATTCACAGTCCTTTGTCCCTACCAATAGATTTCGAGAATTTAAATGTTTACTAGTTCAGGCTTGTCGTGGCATCCTCGGCAAGGGCATCACATCCAACAAAATGTTCTCCTGTTCAGAGAATTAGGTAGCCGCTTTGGACTGACAGCTTGGAGCATGATTCTTGTTGTTGTCTCAATTTCTTTGGTCAGATATATTAACGTAGAGCTACTAGATCTATATCTTTAGATGATTTGATTGGTGCTGTCTGTAGTGGGATGTGGAGGGATAAAGTTGAGTAACTGAGTTAAAGAAGTAACTGGAACTTTCCCTATGTGGGAGTTGGCGGTATGCATTCCATGTTTTTTTGTGTGGTTTTAGAGGGATAGGATTCAATGGGTCAAATTGCCTTTTTTTTCAGTGTTAAGTAATTATCTGCTACAAATAGTGTAATGATAAAAGGAAAACGTTTGTAACCCTTCTGTTTGCATAATAATATCATCACTTAATCCACGACTGTTTGTGGGATACTAGTGTGCGCAATTGGCTGCTGCGTTTCACCCACAAAATATACAGTCAATTCACTTCACAGTGTATTCTGTGAAGCACTTTGAGACGCCTTGGAGATCTGATAAGGCGCTATATCAAAAAATGCAAGTAATATCTCGCTCTGTGTTTCCAATATTTTCTACTTCTGTTTCACATTTCTAAGTTGCAGTTACTTATTTGAATGCAAAATGTCTTAGCCTACTTTCTAAAACTGCACAATTATAACCTAGCATATTTGTTTTTTTGCTTAAAAGCAGATACCTGGAAACAGACCATTATATAAATCATTTAAATGCATATTTTCCATGCCAAGCATACTGGTGTAATGGGTCTATGTGATGAATATTACCTGCAACTGGACCTTTTTAAACAGGAGTGGTATTCAATGACATTTTGTGCTTATTTTCTAGGGAATGCATTTTCAAGAATTTTACTTCTCTGCTCCACTGATTATTCTTCCCTTTTAAAGTTGCATTGGAAAGATATGTAAAGATTCATTGCTCTAATCTGCTATAATCCAAGAATTTCCATTAAAATCCTGTTTAATTCCTCATTTTTTTTATTCCAGGTACAACAGACATTATGTGGTGGAAGGAGAACCATATGCAGGTTATGACAGACATAATGCAGAAGTGTCAGCTTTTCATCTGGACAGGTAATGCATTGTGGTGTTATGCAATGTGGAGAAAATCTAAGCCATACATTACTGCTGGTTGGTAAAGTTACAAATTTGTAGTGGGACTTCTCTAGGCTTCTTTTGTTTCCCAATTTTGCTTTATTCTAATTTGTATTAGAAATTTGGTTGTAATTTGAGTTAGTCCTAATCCAAAATGTAGATTTTGTAAAATGAAATTTTAAAAAATCTCAGAATATGAGCCTTAATTTAATTGATCCACTGGCTCTTATCTTAGACTTTTTAAATTGTTGAGTTATAAGAGAGATTCTAAAAGCTTGGTATGTAATATAATTGGTTTTGCTTTATAATTGGTTATTTTCTTGAGCAATGAGAGATAAATTAAACACAAATTACGAAAAAAAAATCTCTTTTGGTTTATTTAGTTGAGGATTCCAACTTTGGTTTCCTGACTCCTACTACACTGAAGACAGATATCCGTTAGATAACTGAGGAGGAACTCTGAGACTGAAAAACATTACCTATAGTCTGAGTTCTTGAACTTGTGTCCTTAGATTCAGCACTGGGAATCTGCCTTGATTAGTTTGCATAGATTTTAAGGGGCTGCTCTGCACCTGCAACTGGTGGAACCATCATCACTCCAAGGGAAAGGATGTGCCATTCAAGTTGATCCTGGGTCGGAAGGGCCTCTTCTGCCCCAGCTCCTGTTAACCCTGCAAGTTTGAACCCATAACCTTCTGACTAGGAGGCGAGAGTGCTGCCACTAAGCCACCTGTCAAGAATGGCAGGTACCTGAAGTTCCCTTGAGGGCAACACAGCTTAGCATGAAATCTGAGACGGCATCGCCACCATCCTCCTGCGATGGCTCGGATATGCATCCCTACCCATTAAGCAATGGTTCCACCAGTTGCAAGTGTGCAGCTTGAGCAGCAGCTGGTTACCTTTCTGCAAACCAATCAAGGTGGATTAATGCTGTTCATTCTTTTCCACAATGTGGAGGCAGATTCATACTCTACTATTAAATGTTGATTACACCAAGCTGTATGGGCCAAGGGACCATCGTAGTGATGCTAATAGCATTGAAAGGAATTCAACCAAATTAAATGGCTGAGTTGAAGAGTGGCAGATGGATTTTAATGTGAATAAATACTGGTTGGGAAACCATATGTACATTTGACAAATTAAATATGTGAGAGAAGCTGGGGAAAGAGCGGGGACATTTAACTGGAGTAAAAGTAAATAACTCTAGTTTGGAGATGGCACATGTACAATGGGGGTGAACATCTTTCTGTACTGAAATACCTGTTTCTTGGATAATGTATGTTTACTCATTAATGAAGGTGGAAAGTATTTGATTGGCTATTTAAGTTGACTCAATGATGTTGCCAAAATGCTCATTGATACTGGGCTGTATCTTGTGAGCTTTGGATAAACCAAAATGCAATTTAGAATATTGGAATAAAAGTTATAGCCTGTGTGATATTTTACACATTAAATGGCTACTCCTCAAGTGCAGCTCCCCAACCCTGTTCTCAATGGTGAAGACTGCAAAGCTGGGAATTGGACTTCCCAACTGTGACAATGACTGGTCATACTCCATAAATGGCACAGACTGCAAACTTTACGCTGATTTGTGAATATTTGGATGTGTGGCCTTTCAAAAGACCATGAGATTTTTAAGTGACGAAGGAGAAAATATTGAGAAGGGACATAATACAGATCTTTAAAATGAGACATCTGCCTGTCGGATGAGGATAGGACAAGCTCGACTGTTGAACAGTGTGTTACTGCTAACTCAAGTTTCAGACCTGGGCAAGGTAGCGGAGGACAAAGGGTGCCCTAGAAACCTGCCCCACCCAATAAAGGGAAATGAGTCAGAAACCTTCAGCAGAGGAGTCAGAAAATAAATTAAAATACTGCAGCACATTTGTACTCTCTGGACTAATCACAAGACAATTTGGATTAGTTTCTGTTGATTGTATGGGACTTATTTTTGTAATTTACCCCGATTTGGTTCCAGTCTTGTGCTATATCCTTCAGAGCAGACAAACAGGACATTCTGGCCTCTTGTCAGTTCACAGCTGCTGTCACATTAGCTGCAATTGAAGCCAGGGAATATCTACTCACTGATTAGTTTTTATTTAGGTATAAATGGGGATTCTTACAAGTCCTGAGAATGTTGTAACTTCATTGCTCTAAGACTCTACCCTCCATGAAGGGCACTATACAAATGCAGGATGTTGTTGTCACAATATATTTCACTTGACCATGTCATGTGAATTTTTTATCAGCTGTATTCCATTTATGAGAGTGGAGTATTAAATTCATGGGGCCATATTGAACACAGATGCTGTTTGTTTGCAATTTTCAAGATAGGGTAGTTATTTAGTTCAATGGTTCCATATTATCGACAGTTGTGTAGAAACCATTGCTATCTCTACACAGCATGGACAAAATATTACGAAGACTACCAAGGACTGAATGCAACCAATTTAAAATGTTTCTAATCTTATTTCTCCACCATTTGATAAATTCTAAATCCTTGTATTTGTTGCTGGTGAAATTACATAAAAATCATTGTAGTTCATCATCAATAAAACTTCGGCTGCAATGATTTGGAAATATAGAATATATACAGAGAGATAGCTGGAAGAACTGAACTACCACCATGTTTTCTAATTTGGAAAATGGTACCGAGAATGACATCCCAAGAAGAAGTGAGTTAAATTACACCATCCCTAAGTAGTTTCAATAGCCACATGCTGTTGTGAGACTGTTTTTGACTTGGTTGGTTTAAATAGCATAAATACAATGAATTCCTTTGCCAACTTCAGCCACTTATTAAAAAACACAATCTGCTCAACACCAACAAAAGAATTCCTGTCAATGTGACAAGCTTCATTCAGAATGGATACTATCTGCCTCTAACTCAGCTCTCATTTATCAAACAACAACAACAAAATTACGTTTGTATAGTGCCTTTCACATCAGGAGGATGTCCCAGGGCACTGGACAGACAGATTTTCGGAGGTTTATGATGTCTGTGAGTAGAAGGGCAAGAAGGTGGAGCTGGGAGGTAAGGAGAGGGGTAGTGATGGGGTCACGGGAGCAGGTGGTTGTTTCATGCGGGTTATAATGGTGATAAGAGAAGAGTGGGAGACGGGTTAGATGGTGTGGAGGGTAGGATGGGTAGGGGCCGGGGGGAGATGGAATGGCAGAGGCAGCTGAACGGATCCCTTCGACTTTGGATTCGAGGAAGTGCAGCATCGCCTTGCAGTTGGCCTTTGAGGTGAGGATAGGATGGGTGGAGGAGCCGGTTCGTGATGGAGAAGAGGAGCCTGGGTTGTCCTTGGCCTCCAAGATTGTCTTGGAATAGAACGACGAAACACCCTTCTACAAGTTTACTCTACAATGATTTTACTAATGCTTACTTATGCTTCAGTATTAAAGTAGCAGAGCACAGATGGACTTAAAACAGACGGTTTTAAAGGTAATTGGAGTATATGAGCAATGGATTATTGCTTTCAAGCTATCTATCCATAGTGTTAATATTTTTACCAAATCCCTAGTTAAACCGAAATGTCTTCTTGTAGAGCATCTCAACCGGTTAACTTATAATTTAGAAACTTTGTTCCCTTCAGAATTGTTTGCTGAGCCTACTATCAACAGTGCAGGTGGTTGTTTGAATGTATGCTTCTTTATTTTCTTTGAATGTTACATTTTGGGGTTATAATTGGAAATTAACAATTAAGTCATAAATAAAGCTTGCTTAAAAATAACAGCTAATTTGGTAACTTCTCCAATTTTTTGCTTCATTGTAGGATCCTGGGATTGCGGCGTGCTCCACTGGTTGTTGGAAGATGCATAAACCTTCGCACTGAGATCAAGCCGGTTGCCTCTGAGCAGCTTCTGAGCACCTTCCTCACATTGGGTATGTACTTTCTATAGGAGACACGATTCCAAGGTTGGGAAATTGCCTCTTAATAGTCACTAAACAAAATATGCTTTTTGGTGTGCATTTTTCTGTATTAGCTGTGTGTGTGTGTGTATATATATATATATATAACTTTGTTTCTATTAAATTGCTTTGAACATCATGTGGACGGGTGTCAGTTACCTTCACTAAAAATGACAGACTTCCAGATCATCAGGTTGTAAACAATATAGAAAGAGGAGTAGGCCATTCAGGCCCTCGAGCCTGTTCTGCCATTCTATAAGATCATGGCTGACTTGTACCTCAGCTTCAATTACCTGCTGTTGCCCCATATCCCTTGATACCATGACCCAACAAATATCTATCCACCTTAGTCTTAAAAAAAATGGATCCAGCATCCACAGCCTTTTGGGGGAGAGAGTTCCAGATTTCCACTACCCTTTTGGTGAAAAAACTGCCTAATTTCACTCCTAAATGGCCTGGCTCTAATTTTAAGATTATGCCCCTTTGTTCTGGAGGAAATAGTTTATCTATTGATTCCCTTTATTCTTTTAAAAACCTCAATCAGATCACCCCTCAACCTTCTAAACTCAAGGGAATACAGACCAAGTTTAAGCAACCTGTCCTCATAATTTAACCCTGTAAGCCCTGCACATCATTTTCTGTACAATCGTTCATGCTCAGGGAGTGATCTGGAAGTTGGTCATTTTTAGCACGGAAAGCCAACCAGCTTTAGGCGCGCATTGGCAGTGATGTCACCAGTTGTGATTAGTGGAGTCATGATATGAAAGTGCTGACCATGGATTGCACCATGATATAAATGTGTCAAGTGTTCACCTACAAAACTAGTCACTACACTTTACAGTAAAATCCTGTGAAACGCTTTGAGGCGGCTTCCTGATATGAAAGACAGTATATTGAATGAAAGGATTATTATTGTTATAAGGAGGACTAGAATTTTATGGGCCACAATGACTGCTTTATAACAAGTCTCTACTGTAAATTCAAGTTGTGGTTGGTTTACTACTAATTTGTGGAAGAGCAAAATCTATTTTAAATTCAAGGGATCTCCTTGTTGACTTATTCATAGGAGTAGCTCTCCTCTTCTAATTATCAAGTAAAACCACAGAATATTGGAAATGCACCAGCATCTAAAAGATGATAGTAAATGTTTCAGCTATGATCCATCAGAGGTAGTCCTGTGGTTCTTTTAAATTAACCAACCAACATATTCTGCTGTGGTTCTTTTAAATTAACCGACCAACATATTCTGCTTAAATTGAATGGAGACATCATTGTGATTATGATATAAAATGGATCCAGCAAAGATTGTAATAAGTGATTGATTAGAGAGGTAGTTGCAATTCAATATCTGAATGTTGATGCACAGCACAGTGAAATCCTACTTGTAAAATAAAAATTAGCTATACCCAACTCTTTATCCGTTTGTAGTATCTAGCAGGTATTACTGTGATTGGGATTTCAAAGGAAATTAGATACAATTAGCTTTTTTTCAAAACTTTACTCTAAAGTAACTGGCTGAATTAGTGGCCAAATATGTAGAAAATACCTTTGCATTCTTGTAGCCTACAGAAAATCCTAGAAATAAGTAATCATCATAACAGCTCACCAGTTACTGGAGACTTGCTTTGTAAGAGTGGTTCATTTTACATTTGTTTCAGAACAAATTTGTTTTCTATTGAAATCAAGTCAAGTTTTGGTACTTCCTTCTAATATCCTTTCTCCGTCAACTCAGAAATAAGTATAAAATCAGTCACTTGGTATTGTTGGTGCTTTAGATACAATTTTTTTTACAATTTGTTTCAATTAATTGTCTTTTTCAGGCAACAATAGCTGTTTTTATGGGAAGTGCTATTACTGTAGGGAGTCCGAGCCAGCCTGTGCTAACGGAGATATCATGGAGGGATCTGTTACACTATGGCTACCAGACATATGGCCATTACAAAAACATCGACACCCATGGGGCAGGACATACAGGGAAGGAAAACTAGCCAGGTAAGCCACAAGTTGTCCGGTTGCTTATTCTTTTTTTATTCTTGTTGGAGTACAAGGTGAAGTCTGGGTTCACAATATCCTAGCATATCAGGGATGTGCCAGATCCTGACATGAAATATAAATTCTAGAAATTGGCTACTGGTAATTATACTGGTAACGGCCCCTTCCCAAGCCAATGGAGACTAAGATGAACAGAATACCCCTAACCTACTCTCTCCCCATTACAGCATCAAGCTGTTTCTTAAATGAGTCCAACATCTTGGGATCATCCACTCTTGCCTTCCTGGTAATTTGTTGTTTACCCTCTGTAAAGAAATGTTTCCTAGTCCTAAAATTGCACGTTTCAATCCTACTAAATATATGTACCTTTTCCTGCTCGTATATACAATGCGAATACAATACAAAATTATATCAGTAGGATAACAACAAAATTACATCTGTATAGCGCCTTTCACATCGGGAGGACGTCCCAAGGTGCTGGACAGTCAGGAATTTAGACACGAGCAGGGGGGGTTGGGATCTTGGAGTGTAGGAGGGTGGCCTAAGGTGCGGGCGAAGAGGAGTATCTTGAGACATATCTTGAAAGAGGTAAGGGAGGGTGTCCAAAGGGTGTCTGAAAGTATTGTTCTTTTTTTTGGCCTCAATCTCCATTTATAATTTGGGATGTAATAGTTTATGTACATCTATAAGGTCTTCTTTTCCTACATGTCATGCTACTGTTCCAGCGTCTGATAATATGAACCGAAACGGAAAATGGAATACATTGAAAGTCAAAAATGTTTTTAGAAGAGAAAACATTTAGGGAAAACGGTCTTTCTGAACAGAAAGTTTGATAAGTTTTTTTTGTTCAGATTAAAATGCTGATCACCTTCAATTATATTACAATGACTAAGCATGCCATTCAGGCTCATTGGTTTCTAGTGCCTTATGGATTTATAACTATTGATTGGGTTCATATTGTACAAAATGACATTGCAGTTGCAGTGTGGAGGGAATGTATTACAGCAATTCTGTCAAACTGAATAGTTTGCCTTTGTTGAAGATCCTGGATTGGTTGGTCTTGTCACTTTTGAGATACTGTTGTCTACAAAGAGGAGTTTTTGTTCAACTGACTTGTGCAGTTTGTCGAGTAACTGCTGTTAAATTGAGTGGGTAGTAATTTAAAATGAGTGACTGGTGTTTCCAAACCAGCAGTATTTATGCATCATGATTCAGATCTGTAATGTTCCCTTAGGCTTGCTCTTTTTCAGTTTAGTTTACAACAGTAATATCCGCGAAGCCTGACATTGATTTTACTATTCAAACTTTTGGCTTAATCTTTAGCTCTGTAATTACAGCTGTAGATGAGTCATTATGGGTCCAACATGCGGCATTTCTTAATGGAATTCTGTGATAAAAAATCTCATTAGAATTCCTGTCACCCCACGAGAAAGCTATTCTGCAAATGCATCGCCTCAAGGCAGTTGACACAGGTTGGTGCAATATGCTCTGGTTACAAAAAGTAGTGCCACTTTATTACTGCTCCTGAAAGAGCTAACAGATAGCCATCAGTAAAGCAAACTTAGACTTGATGTAGCACCCTTTGTATGACTAAGCAGAGTCTCCTTGTACCTAAGCTGCCAACAGAATGTCAGAATCAAGCCAACTCTCCGTGACAGTTTTGGTACTAAGCCATGTCGGACCTCGTATATCCAGGGCAATGCTGATTGCAGACTAGCCAGCTTGGCTCATTGGCTCCTTGGAACAGTACATTCTTCCTGCTTGTATTCTGTTAACCCTGCAAGCTAGAACCTTAAAAGGTAGCTCTTGAGATATCTTCCCGAACTGAAAGGTGCTACATTCAGTAAATTATATAATAGTGCACTTCTAGTTCTCTCAATGGCCGGCTGTGCAGTTTTAGTTTGTTGAACTCCAGCCGTTACCCCAATGCACACTCTGGGGTCTCCAAGCCTTGGCACTTGCCAACTTGCACTTAACACACTTAAGAATTAGTTAAGTAGTGTGCATACCTCCAGAGGGAGAGTGTGCATTGCATTCCACACACAGGGAAACTTCTATTTGTTAGAAACATAAACATGTGGAATTCTGTCTGGTTTGGATATCTTAAGCATGATGATTGGCTTTTGCATCTGTCAGACACCCGGCTGACCAAAGAGCAATGAATGATGCACAAATTATTCTGTTTAATTCCATACAAATCGTTTATCACAGGAGACCATCTTCTGATCCATCTAGCTTTGCAAATCAATCTCATCATTGAATACCCTGAATCCTTTTAAATTCCCAGAAATTATCGAGTTCCTTTTTGAAACCCTTTATATATCTACCATTGTAATGGTAGTTTGTTCTAATGCCTATTGCTCCATTATTTATAAAGTCCTATACTATACTCTTCCCTTTTCCTCCATCATCTCTTTTAAAAAGAGAAAAGTTCTAATATTGTCAAACCTTCCTCATATCTATGAGACCCAAGTTCTGGGAAATCTATGAATCAATGTAATTCCAATAATTGTTGGAAGCATGGTAGACACGTACTACAGAGTCACTAAACTTTATAGTAAATCCTATGAAGTACTTTAAAACATCCTCCCCAGGTGAAAGGTGCTACATCTAATTCAAGGATTATTATGTGAATGTACTGTTGAGTAAATAATAATAATCCTTGCATTTGATATAGTGCTTTTCACGTCTCAAAGCGCTTCAGAATATACTGTAAAATGAATTGACTGTATATTTGTGGGTGAAACACGGCAGCCAATTGCACACAGCAGTATCCCACAGTTGTGGATTGAGTGACCAAATAATTTTTTTTCTTCTTGAGGGATTATTATCAGGCGTGTGGAGTAAGGAAGGTTTCGCCCTGCAGGAATCGAACCCAGGTCTCTTGTCTGTGAGGCGAGTGCTCTAACCACTGAGTTACAAGACTCCACTAAACTGCAACTAAGTGTAATTTATTTTTCCTGATAGGTGGGAATATGATGAAAGTTACTGTGATGCAGTAAAGAAGACCCCTCCATATGATTCAGGTCCTCGTCTCCTGGATATTATCGACACTGCAATATTTGATTACTTGATAGGCAATGCGGACCGACATCACTATGAAAGTTTCCAAGATGATGGTGGTGCAAGCATGTTAATTCTCCTAGACAATGCAAAAAGGTAGGCCTTGTATTCTAGAGTTTAACAATGGCTTTTAATTGGGATGGTTAACAGATCAAATGCTTGAGAAATGAGGATGTTATAAAAGAAAGTGGGAAAAAAAGGAGGGAAATTAAAAGTTCTGTCATGATTTAATTAAGACCGAACAAATTCAATGAGCCTTTATTCCTAAACAGCTTCATCAAAATAATACATCACAGTAGAGAGCCTATCGGATATAGATCTCAGTGGCTGGGAAAGAGTAGAAAGAGGCTCTGACGGTTGTCATTAAATAATGGCAGGAAAAAGTGATCGATCAGTAAGGATTTTTTTTTGTCAAGCGTAAGTATTTAAGTAGTCAAGGTTATTCGTCCTCACCGAACATTGATGTGACTTCTTGCATTTCAAGCACTCAACCAATAGGAGCTCAGAAATGACTCATCAGGCTTAGAATATTTAATAATAATGATCTTTGCATTTGATCTTTTCGCCTTATCACGTCTTTGAGACGTCACAATTACACCTAATAATTAATTAAATTGACACCACAAACATTGCTGTTGTGGTTAAGTAAATATCCTAGTGGTATATTAGGATTTTATTTGTATTAAAACTAAAAAAACTAATTGTTTCATCACTGGCATCATTCCCTAGTGACAATGTTTTCTGTGTGACAAAGTACATGACAAGCATTCAACATGCCCTTCCACACTAAACAACCAGGAAGTACTCTGGGTTCTGACAGATAGGAGGGTAGGTTATGACATAGCACTTTTTGGGTACAAGAGAAAGCTGTATATGATGAATAGTTTTTTTCAAAAAAAATAACAATGGAATTGAAGTCAGAATGGCAATGAATACATAATAATCCATGCATCTGATATAATGCTGTAGCACGTTGTCATTGTTTCAAATCTTTAACAGGATATACTGTAAGGTGTAGTGACTGTGGAGGGGTTGAGGGATGCACTGCAGTCCCGAGGAAGCTGAGCTTATGGGGAGAGAGGCTGGAGAAGTTTACAGAAGGGGAAGGACATGTAGGAACTTATGAGGATCTTGAAATAAATCTGCAGAGAAATGGAGACCGAGGAACCTGGTGAGGATAAGAACATGCCTTCGTGAGCCGGAAACTTCACAACACCTAATAATTCCAATTGCTATTGTGGTTAAGTGAATATCCTAGTGGTATTTTAGGATTCTCTTCTGGGGATCCACTTAAAGCAAAGATTTGTACTGGTATAGAGTGAGCTATAACTAAGACATTATTGTGGCTTATATTGGATGCAAAAAGTGACTTCTTGTCCACCTCTGAGACCTTTCACCTTGAAGATTTCACTGATGCATGTTTAAAGGTTTTTCTTCCTAATTTCAGTTTTGGGAATCCCAGTGTGGATGAGAGAAGTATCCTGGCAGCTGTGTATCAATGTTGCATGTAAGTACCATTGAGTACTGGAATATTGGTGTAAAATGAATTATTCCATGGATGTGAATAAAACCTTACTGCATTGCATTATATTTCAGTCCAATTTGAGATCTTTTAAGACCTGAAAAAAATTGTGCAATTGATAGGGCAATATTAACATTCTTCCTCTTGTACAAAAAGCCACCCTGAATCCAGAGTCCATGTTTTGAATCCAAGGCTACGTTTTTTTATATTGCTCCCATATGAAGGGACTGTAGGAATTACTCCATGTAATTGTCAGTGTAACTGACAAGTGGTGGCTGTAAAACCCGAATAACTTTAATGACATTCTAGGGATTCTTCATCTTTAGATCCAAAAAAGGGGTGGATATATTGGGTATATATCCTCTGCCCATGTTCTTATATCCTGAACATTGTGCAGTTTGGAACGTATTTCTTGCAGCTCATTAGCCCTGTTCCACCAGTATGTTAGATCTTGGCAGGTCTTTTAATCCCCAAACCCTGCCATATATTTCACCATATCCCTTTATACCTCTACTACCCAAATGTCTACCTCGCTTTTGAACAACCTTATTGATTCTGCCTCTCGAGCTTTCTGGTTGTAATAGGAAATATAATTGTTTTGATACATTCATCTGATCCAATTGGCTGGAGCCCACTTGGCAACATGGCAATATTTTTCAGTTTGCTGCTGATCTCTGGCAACAGGATTATAGTGGTAATGCTTTACACCTTTTAAAGGCTCAAACAAGAGAAGGCATTCATTAACAAGTACAACTGAGAAAGAAAAAAAATGGAGAAAATTAATGAACATTTGCTCTTAGCTTTGTAGTACTTTTTGTATTTTGTGACTGTGATTACTGACCGTATTGGTGAACAATAAATGGAAGAGTTCCTGCTCTTAACCGATGTTGTGGGGAGATGCTGAGCAGAAGGATGACGAGTACACATGACTCCAGGACATGTCTTAACTGCTGATTCCAAGTAGCATTATTGGAGGCTTTCAGATGAGCTTTCTGTTGAGAAATAATGATGGAATTCTGAAAGGGAGAACTAGGTGTGGAGTGAAAATAAATTTGAGTCAAAGAGATAGGTGTGAGCTGAGGTTGCGATTCTCTCACTTCAAAATTCAGTTGTACTGTCAGAATATGACAATCAGAGGGATTGAACACAGGTCACTCACACACATCCAAGCCATCAGTTTCCACGTGGCATTGGTAGGAGATGGGGAACAGTCTAGCTTCAGATGAAGCAGGAGGAAAAAGAATTATGGCCAAAAAGGTTGGATAGAGTTATGTGAGGAAAGAATTTCAAATACACCTACCTATTTTTGTATCTTATTTCTTTCTGTTTTGTGACCTCCAATATTAAATTTTGAGTATTCCATCCTTCCAGTTCAAAACATCTAGTCAATAACAAAACTGATTTTGTTGAACAAAAGTTTCCCTGGATCATCTTCTTTATTCATTCATCTTATCTTGTTTTTCCCAAAACACAAATTCTGTTTTTAGTCTACATTCTTGATGTCTGAGATTATTGAGAGTACATTCTGAATAATCTGTTTCAAATGGGACTCGCATGTCCTGTCCTTATTTTTTTTCGACCCATTTTAACTGCATCATGAATGGTTTTCACGTCCTTTGTTCTCAACACTTATCATGGAAGCACTTAGAGAGGATTGCTCACTATCTCTGACCGTGAAGTTGACATAAACATACTCTAACTGCATTAGGCTTACCTCTGAGTGCATTTTTTTCTTTTCACAGCATTAGAGTGTCCACCTGGAACAGGTTAAACTATATGAAGAGTGGAGTTCTCAGTACTGCTATGCGGACTGCCATGTCACATGACCCCATCGCCCCTGTTTTGACAGACACCCACTTTGAGGCAATGGACCGGAGGCTGATGGGTGTCATAGGAACTATCAAGCAGTGCATTGAACAGTTTGGGACAGATGTGGTGCTGGTGGAAGACAGAATGAAACTGTCTCACTTGAAATAAATAGGTGCTTGAAACATGAATCGGAAAATACTACTGTTCTGCACTTGTCAAACAAGCATCGACAGTACAAACTGCTCGGTACGGAATCACATCTTCAAGAACTTTAAAAAAGTGTGTCTCCTTTCCCTTTAGGGATAGAAATAATCTGGAAAAGTAGGATTATTCCTTGGACAGATATTGGGAAAATCAGTCAGCCCAAGTGATGCACTGATGAACGTTGTTGCTATCTCTAATAGCTTCACTCAGTGTTTACCACACTAGCAAATTTTTTCTTTTTTGGTATCATCTTGTATCAAATTATGCAGATCTGCCCTAATTGGCATACAGATAATGAAACTGCTTATGATAATTCTTTCAATACTTGATGTTAACTCCTTGTAGTGGAGTCTGGGCCCTCACACTGTCACTTGATTTTGTTTTGCATAGAACGGTTTGCCTGGATTTTTCAGATGATAAATTTGACACCCTAATGGGCAAGTTATGTTGTGTTCATGATTACTGTATAAATTGATGAATATTTAAAAATCTGCTCAAATGAAATTTTGCTTAGTCCCGATCAATCCACTATGATGTGCAAAAAAGGCAGCATTTGAAATGTCTAAACTCTGAATTGTTATAAATATATAAAAGTATCGGTTGATTTCTGTATTCCATTAAGGCACTATTGCCCAGAGCGTTCTCAGTGAGACCACACACTTATCAGCCATCGAGGCACAGAGAGAACAAAGAAAATATGTCCTGCTGATCCACGTGAACATGCCAATCAGAAAGTGTTGGTCAGTTTTTGTAGAGGTCCTGAGAAAAAGATATTACAAAAAAACCTTGTGAAGTTTTATTTTTAAATGTATTCTCTAATTTGAGTGATTTTTAAAAAAAATGGTAATGGGATATATAAGTGAATAATGCAAGTGTCCAATTTATTGATTTAAAATTGTGTTAGGGTGGCTAGCTTTATATTGTGTCGAGTTTGACCTGTTGGTTTACTATTTTGACATGTGTGTGCACTGAATATGTTTGCAAGCGAGTATGTCCACATCATGACAAAGAATTTTAATTTGTATGATGCAGTGTTTTCCCCATATGGACCAACGTTTAACTGAATGTTTACAATGATTTCTGAAAGGCAGGAAAAATTTGGGACTGTTTCGATCCATGGTTCACTCCAAGACATTGCATTTTTTGCAGCAGTTATCATGGTGTAAATAATTACAGATAATTTATTTGTTGGGAGTGATCATTGCTGACATAAACTTACTGGACCTTATTCTAAATGGAAAAGGACTCCATATTTTAGTTGGAAGAAGATTATAGGTGTGGAACAAATCCTCTGACTGTTCGGAAAATGTTTCACCTATCACCTCCAGGATAATTGAAGCAATGTTTAATCAATTAATATTTTAATAAAAAAATTAAAGCACAGTTTCAACAAAATCTGCCTTTTCATCAAAATTGTAAAATGCTGTTGTCTCCTTGATCTGTTTGTAACAAATGTTTGTTGTTGTATGCTTCTACTTTGTATTCATTGCATCCTTGAACATTGTTCAAATGAAAGTTTACTGTTAAACTTTTTTTTTGCAAGTTCCTTTTTTAAATGTTTTCCTCTTGAATTCCATTCTCTTCTTAAAGTGCAAGTCGTCATCCTCCTCCATGACTTTGGCCAGTTCTGTTTTTGTGGAGCAATGTAGATGATGCACAGGAACAGCTTGAAGTGGTTTATTCCCGCCTTGCGTTCTGGCTGAAACTAGGGCATCAGCTGCTAACTAGCATAGTCTTTCTGTAAGGTGAGAATTATGTACCTTTTAAATGTTTTAATGTGACTAAACATCACATCCATTTCAGCAAGAATCTTGAACAGAAGATACCAGTAAGTTCCTGTCTTTACCGTTGGAAAAATGATCTTGTATGGAGAAGTCTTTCTGCAAGGTGAGAATCATGTAAGCATCAAATGTCTGAATGTAACTTGCTGTCACATCCATTTCAGCAAGATTCGTAAACAGAAAATACTAAGCAAGTCCTTTTATACAATGTAATTTGTTGGTCTACTGCTGAAAATGTTTTCTCAGAATTCGGGAAGCACAATATTTAAGAGTGCACTTTACTGCTCACGGCATCTTAATCTGCTTTTATCAGGTGTGCTTTTGTAGTCTTAACAGCTATTGGTGCCCTTTGCTGTTAAACAGCTTACTGTTCGTATTTTGTGTAGTTCCTAACTTAACCTAGAAAATTGGGTAATGTGCTGAGTGTCCCCATTTTTGTGTCACATTTGAAAATAGCATAGAATTATTTTCATTTTTTTAAAAAAAGTTAACTGAAGTTTTTTTTGGTTACTAGGGTGTCTTGACAAAAGCAGTATCCCCTTGCTATTAAGTTCAAGCCACTAAGGAATCCACAAAACATGTTTCTGTATACTGTGCTGCACATCACATGGGGATATATCCTTCTCACCTATGACGCAAAGGTGTCAGAAAATTTGAAATTGCATATTAAGATGCCCCAGGAATGTACCCAGTTAAAGACATGCAATATGGTAAATTTTCCCAGCTTAACTTGTAGGGCAAAGTCAAATCAAAATAGTGACTTACCTACCCCTCTCAAATGCTGTTGATGAGCCAGAGTTACTCTAAAATTACTTTGGGGTAATTCCTTTTCATTGTACACCACCACCTTTTTTGGAACATAGAACTGATCAATCAGTTTGACCTCATCAAGATGCGAAATATTAGCACATGAATCTGCAATTAAATACACACCAACAGTCCCTTACTAAGAGACCATGTTATATAAAGTCCCCTTTGGCCCAGTGCTCTCAGGTTGTTGACAGGTTTAATGAACTTATACTGTAAGGAATTTAACACGAACAAAATTAGGCAGTAACTCGGCACAAGTAAGAACTATAACTATAAGAATTTTAGTGCTTTACCAGACCAAAATGTTTAACCATTTCATAAGTGATTAAGTTTTGAGATGATGTTACCTCGATCACCTCAGAGGTTATCTTTGGCCCAGAGGGGGGGAACAATGTTGTTGTGACTTTATTTTTGACAAACTTAGCAGTCATTTGCACTAGCAAACAGCTAAAGACCAATTTATCTTGCAGGAATATCAGCTGCTATTAATAACTTTCAGCAACACAAGGTGCAGCAACTTCCATATAGTTTCCTCCACAATCATGGGGGGAAAATGTTTCATTTCTGAACTGATTTCCCTGAATGTTGTGACCATTGGTGCAAAGGTGAGAAGATACACAGTGCTTAGTTAAGCACATAATTAGTTGTAGTTTAAAAATAAGTTACTATGCAAACCTTTGTTTTGGTCACCAGAATAATCTACACAGAAACTCCTACCATACAACAGTCTCTGGTTCCGGTGACTAAGAATCTCACAAAGCAGTGAGATTTTTATGCAAAGTAATTGGAGAAATAAGACTTTTGGATCTTCAGTATGGGTTGAATTTGATCCTGAGAATCAGAGGTGGAAAGGAATGTAAAAAAAAGAATAATTAAGTCATTCCAGCACCTGGTATTGACTGAAATTTTCAGGTGAATTTTTCCCCTCCCTCACATGCTTTTTTCTAGTGGAGTTGCTGTGCAAATCTCGTTTAAGATTTGATGTCACAACTGAAGTGTTTTGTGCTCCTTCACCTGGGAGGATATCTTTGGGCCATGTTGTCACAGTCCAACGATTAACTGTTGTGCTTCTCCTGGGAGGGTCTGATTGTTTTCTCCCAGGAAGGTTGCATTGTGATGAAGTGGTACCTGCTGATATTGGTAAAATCAAGATTAGTTTACTTTAAACTTCAATAAAATCTTGGGTTAGAATTTCAGGCCATCAAATTTGATGATTGTTATCATGCAGTTTAGTATCTGACTGCATTTGTTGAATTTTTTACAAAATAAATTGATACATTCCCATAAAATTTTAACCCCAGTTTTTTTTATATACACGTTGGTCTTTAAATAGTTTAATTTTATTTTCACAATTTAAGACTTTTTTTCCAAAAACAAGTCATTATAAAGTATGTGGGGTTATCTAGTGGCTAGATTGAGTATTTCATATACAGTATCTTGTGTAAGATTTTCTTCCGATAGTATTCATGGTTTGATATGTACTAATTCTGATTTTTCATTCCAGCATCAACATTCTGAAGGAGTAAGGCAAGCATAGGTTAGCAACAGGGAATTGTTAAAGAACACTAGTTTTTTTTAAAAAAAGGTTAAAAAATGCTGAGGTTAATATTTTGGGAGTGATCGTTTTGGATAAAAAAAACAAAGACTCCCTCTAATATTAACCCACTGATTATTCATATCAGTCATTTTATTGTGTCAACTTCACTGTGACTGTACATATCTTATTTTCTTCATTTGGAGGCTGTGAGATTTAAATTGAAGAATTCTGGTGAGGGATCAAATGTGGCAGATGTTAATTTGGTACTAAAGAGACACAAAGAAACCAGATTTAATTGCCATCAATCCATGTTTAGTGATTTGGACTCTATACTGAGAAGTATTGTGCGGTCACTCAGTGCAATGTGTGCAAAACCATACAATTCTACATTGGTAAAAGCAAAAGTAGTTTACAAAAGATAATGATAACTTTTAACTAGCTATACAAAATAATTGTGCAAATATAAATATCCAGCCTCTGTAATGTCCCTTTCAGTTAATGGTTATTTCAATTAACAGCCACAAGAGATAAAAGCTTTCATGAAGCACACATCTCTTGCAGCAGCATTCCTGTCCAGTAGTTGTTGCTCAACTTCAAATTCTAGGTAACTGTGTTGCATCTCTAGTTGACAAATCATGTAATCATAAGATGCTACCAATGTTATTGCATTTCTTTTTACTGACTGCAAATTCAATTGTAAAAATCAAATGTTTAAATATTTTTCCCACCTTCACCACAGAAAGACTTGCAAAATAATTAATACAGCATTGAACACAGGCCACACTTGATTTTTCTGAGTCCCTTTAAGTTCCAGGTTTTAATGTTAGTTTGTGCGAAGACTTCCACTGCTGCAGGTAAATCTGCTTATACTACATGAGGTAGAAGAAATGTCAGAATTGAGTGAGTGGTTTTGGTAGTCCAGTTCCTGAGCGAGGCAGGTCAGCAGTACTCCAGGGCACCGCTGATGATAGTCAGCCAGCCTAACCTCACTGAGACCAGGTTTGTACCTCACTCACATGACTGAGCAATACCAAATGTAAGGCTTGTTATTGTTTCCTGTGTCAGAGAATGAGTGAGAATTGTATCACCATGAATACCAGTAGGAGGACTTGAATTTGTGTTTCTTACCAGTGGAGAGAACAAGATAATAAATGCATCTCTGCTGAGGTGTTGCTGGTTTGTTTACACTGTTGGGCTCAATTCCTCGTGCTATGATGTAACCAGCCATCATTGTGTAGATACGCACACATTGGGGAACAGAAACTGCAGGAGACCAGCAACGTCCTCCTCGCACACAGAAGCTTCTTCTGGTGTTCATGGGCTCTGGATTCCCTCCACTCCTTTATCCACATTCCCCAGTTTTGTGTGAACTTTTAACACACCCTGCTTGTAACTCACTGAAACCAAAT